TGTTTTGAAACTATTGATCAAACGCTATGGCTTATCTATTTATTTCACCTTCTGCTTTGGGATATGATTTCGCTATAGTTAAAGCAAACCATTGAATATCTTTTGTTCTGCGCATATTTCATTCGAACATTTGACAGATACCTTCACATTTATTTTTTCAAAACTTGTATTACATCAAAATAATAATTATCCTTTTTCGTTGTATGAGTCACTTCAACTCTGTCCTTTGCAAAATTGTTCTGTGACCTTAAAAGTAAATTTACTAACCTGGGATGTAGAAATTTCAGATGAAAATTTTACAAGAATTTGTCTCACAAAAAACAAATTTAAAGAAATTTACTTAGGTCTTCTTGAATTTCAAGTTTACCAAACCACTCAACTGATCCTGAATGCATAGAGGTAAGTGAATTTCATCAAATGTTCCATTTGGAGCGTAAATATGTTATCGTTTATATATATACACTCCTCACAAAAAGTTAAGCAACAAGTATTTTTTTCCACATATTTTCTTCATGGGTATATGAAGTTATTACTTGGCATATAAGCCATGCAGGAGAACCCTTTACGATTGATGAACTGAAAGCATTTCCCATATTGTTTTTCTGATAACATTGTTAGCACCGCCTGAACGCAACCACCCTCAAAACTCACAAATGCATGGAACACATGTGCTATACACGTCGCACATGCGTTCTGATTGCGTTAAAACTGCCAGCAACGACAAATTGTTGACAGTAACATTTGAGAAATGGCTAGGCGTCACTTGACACCAATTGAAGTTGCTCAAATTGTTGGAATGGTGCAGGGGGGTCAGACCCAGAGTGCTGTTGCCAACCATTTCAATGTTCATCGAAGCGTCATCTCCAGAGCGATCACTCGTCACCAACAGACCGGATTGATGACTGAGAGACCACGCTCAGGTCGTCCAAGGGTGACAACTCCCAGAGAGGACCGATACTTGGCCACCCTAGCCCGGCGGAACAGGTTCACCACAGCCAGATCTCTCCAGAATGACCTCCAGAGAGTTGTTGGGAACAGAATCTCCACACAGACAGTGAGGAACAGACTCCATGCTGAAGGTCTCAGGTCCCGAAGACCAATGCAACGTATCCCACTGCCTGCACACCATCGTCAACAGAGACTGAATTGGGCTAACCAACGACGTAACTGGAGAGTCAATCGCTGGCGTAATGTTCTCTTCACAGATGAGTCAAGATTCTGTCTGGACTTCAATGGTGGTAGGGCTCGTGTGTGGAGAAACCGTAACGAACGATACGCCAACTGTACGATTGCTGAACATGATCAGTATGGAGGTGGGAGTTTGATGATCTGGGCAGGAATCCAAGTTGGACGACGAACTGATCTTGTGGTCATCAGACGAGGTACCATGACAGGTGTGAGGTACCGAGACGAAATTGTCACACCTGTGATCATTCCGTGGGCTCAGCAAGCAGGTCCTAACTTCATCTTCATGGATGACAATGCCCGTCCACATCGAGCAAGAGTTGTCACTGATGTTCTTCAGACCAACAACATCACCCATATGGACTGGCCTGCAAGGTCTCCTGACCTGAATCCTATTGAACATGCTTGGGACATCCTCGGAAGGCGTGTGTACGGCCTCCACGTTCGTCCTCAGACTCTGGATCAGCTTGAACAGGCATTGCGGAGAGAATGGCAGAACATTCCACAACAGACTCTAGACAGACTCATCTGGTCAATGCCTAGACGTCTTGAAGCGTGTATTCAGGTCAATGGTGGCCATACACGTTATTAAACTTTGGATCAGTGCTCAAAACTGACAGTAAAAGTGTTTTCAGACATTTTCATACCCTGATGCAACACATTTTGCACGGCTTTTTTCAGTGACACTGTTTTTGATGATTTGCAAGTCAGTTATTGTTCAATGAATTTTGATTTCTTTGTTGGAAAAGTGTGTGGATATGCTTTATCTTTGTTATGTTTGATTAAGTTGTAATGATCATGAGTAAAGGCATATGTACTGACCAAAAATACACTTGTTGCTTAATTTTTTGTGAGGAGTATATATATACACGATTGTATTGTTATCTATGCACGTCGATTGTCATCGTCAATGGAAAACAGTGCGTTGGTGAGTATTTTAGGCATGTGTTTTTTTCATACTCCGACTTTCATATCTTTTGTTATGTTATGTTTTTTGTGCTTTTGATAGTTGTAATCGTCAACGTAAAACAATGTGTTGGTGAGTATTTTAGGCATGTGTTTTTTCATACTCCGACTTTCACATCTTTTGCTATGTTATGTTTTTTGTGCTTTTGAAACTAGAGCAGCGTACAACTTGACTTTTATTTTCTTAAAGTCAGTGAGTTGAGTTTCTGACGCTTTTAGTCATATTCCTGCTAGATGTTGCTAGTCTGTATTAATCGAGTCCGATGGGTCAATTCATGATGATCAACACCATGAGCATCGATCTGTGCATTTAGGAATCGATCACACGTGTCAACCTAGTCAGCGAACCTGCTCCAAAACGGTGTAAAGCTCAACTCACTCACTTACAATTTTTAGTTACGTTTGAATCTACTATTTTGTTCAATTACTAACCGTAATCTTGTTACGACTACAGTCCAGATGTCTTCATCGGCTACGACACAGTACACTTCAAGACCCACTACCCTTCCTTCAATACCCACTCCAGCACCCACTACCCTTCCTTCAATACCTACTCCAACACCCACTACCCTTCCTTCAATACCTACTCCATCACTCACTACCCATCCTTCAATACCTACTACGAGCTTGTTAACGCGGTGCGACTGTACATAGACACCAGAGTGCTGAACCAACTTGCTATGACCACCATAAGCCATTACATACGTGAGACATCAGTATAGCAACCATATCTGTATTTATCTGTTTATATTTTCAGCGGACATGGTTACTCCGCTCCTGACGCTGATGGTTGCAGTCATTCTAGTCGGAGTAGGCGTGGCGTCGCGGCGCCATATCCTTGGGTGGGCTCTGAACATCCGTTCACGAATCCGTTCCCGTCAACGCAGACTCAGAAGAAGTCCACACGACAGCTTACCATTGTCGCACAGACCTACTGACGACGTCTCTCCAACCTCATCACGGGACACCTCTCCGTCTCCAACGCCGCAATCTGCTGACCACGTCTCTGTCTCTACGCCTACCGACCCAATCACACCAACCGACTCCATCACGCCTTGATGACCGTATCACATCGACTTGACCAGATCTCACTGACCCCATCAGCCAACTCAGTGTTTGAATCGTATCATTACTTGGTCTCATCACCTTGTTCATGGACCACCTCTGCTGAAGTACAAGTTGAAGAAGTACAAGTCGCAACTAACGTCACCACCGAAGCGGCTGCTGAAGAAGAAGAAACATCAACACCACCACAGTCTGCTGCTCATTTGTGTGATATAATACAGACACTTCGTACGCGAAGACGTGAAGAGAAATATGGTCGGAGATATGCAGATAGTGTGTTTAACTTGCTTGCAGATTTTTGACAGTTACAGTTTGGAACTTGATGACAGTTACAATCTTGACAGTTTGTTAACTCTATGTGACTGCTCGCAGATGACCAGTTTGTAACTTAGTTTGTAACAGTTAGTGTAGTAACTTAATAAAAAATATTGCTCGTGTGTTGTGTAAGTGTGTTTTTTTTTAGACGTCTCCACTGACTCTTACAGGGTAGTACAGTGTATACAGTATTAGTTACAGGGTAGTACAGTGTATACAGTATTAGTCTCCATTCATCGACATCATATAAGATCAACTTCCAACTATATACGTAACATCATCACGGGCATCATCACGTGACTCCTCACCGTCTTCATCACGCCAACTTGACCGAATCACCCCATCACGCCTACCAACTCCATCACGACCACCGACTTCTCCATCACGCCAACTTGACCAAATCACCCCATCACGCCTACCGACTCCATCACGCCCACCGACTCTATCACGCCCACCGTCTCCATCACGCCAAATCACTCCATCACGCCTTGATGTTCGTATCGATGAGCGTATTGACGAGATCTCGCTGACCCTGTCTCCAGCGTCGCAATCTACCGACTACGTCCGACTCCCGACTCCATCACGCCGCATCGCTCCGATCCCACATGATCACCGTATCACACCCTCGCACAGACGACGTCTCTCCGTCACCAACGTCAACTGACTACGTCTCTCCGTCTCCACTCCGCCACCTTGATCCGACTCCATCATGTCACCTTGACCGAATCACACAGACTCAATCACTCTCGTCATCACTTGATCAGATCTCCCTGATCACATTGATCCCATCACACCTCTCTTCGACTCCATCGTATCATTACATGTCCCCATCACCTGCATCAAGCGCCTCTGCTGAAGCACAAGGTGAAGAACACCAAGACGCAACTAACGCCGCCACCGTGCCCGAGTCTGCTGAAGCATCATCCACAACTATCGTCACCACCAAGTCTGCTGAAGTAGCAGCAACACCACCACCGTCTGCTGCTTCTCCTCCGTTGTGTGATGTAATACAGACACTTCGAGTGAGAAGACGTCAAGAGAAATATAGACGGAGGAGAAGCAGCAGATAGTGCGTTGTTGTAACTTGTTGTAACTTGATGCCCCTGTGTCGTCGCAATGACCAGTTTACAAACTTGATGCGACTACAAGTGCGTTGTTGTAACTTGTTGTAACTTGATGCCCCTGTGTCGCAATGACCAGTTTACAAACTTGATGCGACTGTAGTAACTTAATAAAAATGTTTAAAAAATGTTGCTCGTGTGTTGTGTAAGTGTGTTTTTTTAGACGACTCCACAGACTCTTACAGGGTAGTACAGTGTTTACAGTATTAGTCTCCATTCATCAACATCATATAAGATCAACTTCCAACTAGATACACAACGCCATCATGTGTACATTTGGTGTCAACCAAGTCAGTGAACCTGTCCACGTGATCGCGTATTGGTCAACAGACAACAGTAGTGAGTGAGTGAAGTTAATGGGTTGTTTTTATTCAGAATTACACAAGCGGTAGTTGCACACACCCATGTCGTGTACTGTTCGGGCAGTATCGTCTCTGTGGACCTACTGGTTACCAATCTGTAGGTTGTCCGTTGGCAGATGCTGACACTGCAATACGTAGAAATGTAAATATAACATCCACATAAGGAAATACACAATGTGAATTCGTCATCTATGTACTTCAGTCAATATATTTAATTATACTCACTGCAAATACGCTGCCTCACTCCCATTAAGATCTTTCCCAACAAATTGTGGCCACGCCAGTTTAATTCATTCCTAATCCTAGAATCTGATAGAGAGAGTCCAACTCCCCATAATCTGCCGTATGGGGATGCCTCTACTAGCACCTTAGGGTATGTGTTCAGCAACAGAGACTTAAGTTCTTCAGACTGAGTGAATTTGGCATAATTGGCTTTTCCTACCACTTGTGGACTGATCGTATGCCACACGGTGGGATTAAAGTTCTTCACATGTTTACCTAACTGTTTCTGTTCGGATGGAGATGTTGAATTCAAAATACGCTCAGCAATAAATGTATCTCCAAATGTCAAAGCTTTGCAATACATATAATACTGCTCGGAACAGTTAAAGGTTTTCCCATCTACTTCCATCTTTACAAGGTAGTGTTGACTGAAATGACTCTTTCTCGAATAGAAGTACACACAGCGTCAACAGTTCCAATGTTGCTGAATAAAGACTCACAGCGTGAATATGGCGTTGGTCTGTTCACCCGACCTGGTCCTGCATATGGGGTTGGTGGTGCCATCATGCTACCTGGTTGGTTCATGGGAGACGGTGACGTTGGCCGTCCTTGTCCAGTTGGTGGAATTAGAGCCTGCGGTGGGACACTGCTTGTGACGTTGGTGAAGGCCCGTCTTGTGTCCTGCGACGACACACTCGTGAGAGGATCAACTGCTGGTGTAAGTACTATGTTCGGCTCGGGGATAGTAGCCGGCAGGTGCTGCAGCATCTGAAATTCCTCCACTTTAGCGATGTAGTCCTTCGCCAACCCCATGAGCAACTTGAACACCTCGGAGGTCATGGATATTGACTTCTTCACCCCTCTGCTGTTCCAATTAGTTAGGTGTGTATATACAACACCATTAACGCTGTTTACAGAGAGGTAATGTCTCTCTGCAAACTAGTATACAAAATCTTCAGTGAAAATTTACAAGCCCTAGAGGTAAGCTACATGATTATTATGATAAATTGGTTTAAGTGTATTTGGGTTCTGTTTTGCGTTTTGAAACTTAGAATGTATGTTCATGTAATTATGATTGTATTCTGTGTTACTATGTGTGTTTGATTTATTTTACAGAATGAGCCAACCATCCTACATCTGTACTAGCTGTTATGGGTTTCTGCCAGTGGATGCAAATGGGGAAGACAGTTCGGGACTCTTCACATGTGTCTATTGCGGTGTGAAGCTCAAATATGCATATCACAGGTTTCTGACACACACTGGCAAATGTGTCGTCAGGAAGAAACTGAAGACAACACGCGCCTGCACTTGTCGTCACAAGATTTATGATGACTAACTGAAGTCAAACTTGTGCAGAACTGACTTTCTCCTCAAGACATTTTTCCAGCGGATTGTGCCATTTTGTTCCACTGCAAGAACAAGCTTGCTGAACACTCACTGGCAAATGTGTCGTCAGGAAGAAACTGAAGACAACACGCGCCTGCACTTGTCGTCACAAGATTTATGATGACTAACTGAAGTCAAACTTGTGCATGATTGACTTTCTCCACAAGACATTTTTCCAGCGGATTGTGCCATTTTGTTTCACTGCAAGTCCCCCATAATAAGACTGGGTTTTGGTAGTTGGTCATATAGAGTTTGAAGATCAGTCTTCTGAAGGTTTGAAGACGGTGAGATATACAAAGAGCATAATGTAAATACAACGTGTAACGTAACTCGTACTGCAACTGCTTGGAGACAATTTTATTTCCAGGTCCAAAACTTGACCTGGACGCGGCTCGGGCCAACACAAAATAGTGTCACGTCACTACATACGGTGAGCTGGTCAACTCGCCGCCCGACACATGGGGTATGGGGTAGAACAGACTAGGGAAGCAATCGAGAAGATATTGTTCTGGATCCAATGACAGTGGCACGAGCTACAGCCCCAAAATTATAATTATCCTGTTTCCTTGTACGAGAAAATTCAACTTTGCTCTTTTCAAAATTGTTGTGTCACGTTAACAGTAAATCTATTAACCTGGGATGTAGAAATTTCAGATGAAAATTGTACAACAATTTTTGTCACAAAATATGAATGTAAAGAAATTTACCTCGGCTTTCTTCAATTTCAATTTGACCAATTTGGTCCTGTATGCAGAGGTAAGTGAATTTTTATTATATGTTCGATTTGTCACGTAGTTATGTTATAGTTACATAAACGATTGTATTGTTATCTATGCATATACGAGACATGATGTCGCTGAACTTTGTCATTTGTCCCACCACGAGACTGCCAAGAGAGTAATCATCAAGAAGACTAGTACATTTCCATTATGCGTGGAAGACGTCGATGCAGAACAGAAACGTAAGCACGCTGATAAACTCTTATCACTCTGATACTGTTTAGTATTGGCTCAACTCATTCAACCACTCGCTGGTGAATTATGTTTCGGATGTATGTTCGAGACAGAAGGTGAACAAAATCATCCATTCACATCATTTGACAGAAGAGGAACTAGTGCACCAGTATTTTGCAATGGACGAAGAAAAGTGACGTGGAAGATTATTTGTGTCCATTGAACAATGAGTTGAGTTGAGTTGGGGTTTACAATGTGTGTCTGAATTAAATGTAAGAAAAACATACTTTTTGATTTTATATATTTGCAGTTTATTAATGTTATGATTTCACTAGAAGATTACATTTATCTTTTCACTTGAAGAACGTTGAAAGGTCAATCGAAGAGACTTGTACACTATACGTAAAACAACAAATTTATTATCATAGACAATAAAGTAATATCCTATGAATTTTGAGTCATTTTGATTTGAGTTTCAACATAAACAGCGATTAAAGCTGCAACACTAATCTCGAAACACGCAGTGAAGATATTGTTAGCATTTTATCATGATAATGCTTCTATCTTTCTTACAACCGCTCATAAATTCTGTATTATCTACTGTAAGGATTTATAAAATGCACTCAACTTAGTCTGACATTTACGACTAAGTGCTATTTAGAGGTTATTGAAAAAAAATGTGTTGTTTTATAACTAACAATTTTGCAGCGAATCGCATTCGGGAACGCAAACTGCCGGGGACGTTCATGGGGGTGGGCGAGCGATTGTTGTGAACAAGCAAATCTGCGCTGGTAAGGCTTACATGTCTATCAACACTGCTTTAAAGATATTTTATGCACGCTTGTGTTAATTTTTATTGTGTTTTGCTGTGTCAACTAGATGACGTTTCCTCGGAAAATAAATGACATCAGGAAAGTATTCATTTGATATCTTATGGCATACACAGCAGCAACAGGGGAAACATATTTACGTGCAATCGACTCTAAACAATTTTAAAATTACAGTTGATCGATTTCTACGGAAAGTTGCTTATTACCTCCTGATTTGTTTTCTGTGTTCATTCATAGTTTCTTTATTAATTTCTCATTTTCTGTTAAAGTTCCAGCTCACAGCATCCCCAAATCAATGACAGTAAAGGCTTCTTATGATTCTAGTATTAATCTCTCTGCTACTGCCAACACTAAATTCAAAATTATAATTACTACCACAGTTGCAATAGCTACTTCTACCGCTGCTACTACCCCTACGACCGAAGCTACTTTTTCCGCTACTAATACCACCGCTACTTCTCATAGCATCTCTAAATGTGAAAACAAAAACCAAAAAACACTGGCTGTGTTTAGACGTGTGTTGTGTACGCGAGTTCCCGGCGAGGGGTTGAACAGAGGTTTCCGACTCGAGGAGAAATACCAGTGTTCCTATCAAGAGAAACGCCAAGAATGGAGCTATCATTATTACAAGCTTCGAGTCTTAGCCGACAGCATTTACACTGTCCCTCGACTTAGAACTCAGTTGTGTGGCCTTCCTTTTATAAGAGAATTTCAAACACAGTTTATATAAAACCGAGAAATTCCAGAGCTTTTGGAAATTAGCTCTGGAAATGTTAGGATTAAAGTGTGCTCTCAACTATAGTCGAACACGATGCTGAAGAACAATCTACAAAATTATTAAGGTAAGTTGATCTTGATTAATATTGGAAACCTTTCATTTTTCATACATAATGTACAAATTGTACATTGCAATGCATTCGTGTAAAAAGGTATCATGTTACTCTTATATGAATTATCTAGACGTATCATATCTGCATGATAACATTATCCATGAGGCCAAGTCTGCAGGTTGACAGTTGACTCATTGTGTCGTTACTAGGATAAAGGTTATGCTAGGATCAGATTGCCGCATTGTATGGCTAATTTCTTGTCACCAAATATTTTCATTTATTATGTTGAAATGTCAGCGCGCAGTCTTTAAATATAAACATAACAAATTTATTTTCAGTTGAAAATACAGCTGTTACGGAGGAAGATGTGCTGTTTGAAATTCGCGTTTAGTTAATATGATACATTTGTGTAACATTCTGGATTGGTTTGTTAAATTCACGTGTACACACACGTGCGATGAATCAAAGGCAGACTACATGTAGTGACTTCCGCCTTTGACCTTTTGCTCGTGTCACGAGTTTTCATAGTATCATAGCTGTCTGAAAATTTCTCAGTGCTCTTAAAAGAAATGAGCGACAACGTCATGCAGTTTGCCGATCGCCGTTACATGTCGTTTAACTATTTCCATGGTGTAGTGCATGTACACCTATCTAACTGGAACTCAAGAGGAGCGAAAAAGACCATCTCAATGAGAAGCGACATTTTTAGGCTTTTGATGAGCAGCTCAAGAGAAATTATGGAAAGGTTAACGGAATTATTGCTGCCTGATATCCCACTGCCAGAGACGCCATCGACAACACCTACGACTCTGGTGCCAGCAACAGCGTCGTCGACGGCTCTACCGGGTACATCGACACCTCCAACGACTCAAGCGAACGCAACCCTACAGACTGCAACGCTCCAGACACCAACTACACCGTCGCCTTCCTATGATGAGAGACACATGTTGACATCGGCGCCACACAACAGGAGCAGACCAACACTGTATTCACGTGGTCTTTAGTTTTCATATACGAATATGTCATGTTGGTTGATATTTTATCAGTAACATAAATTCTGTATAACAAGCATTATCACTAAGGTGACATAATCCCCCGCCGCAAATTATCAAATCAAACTTATAAAGTAATGAAAGTTTAAGATGAAGTTAAATGTCAACAAAAACATGACCAGTCAACCTCTTGATATCTTGCTGTTTAGTTGTTCAAACACACATATTTTCAACACTGACTTTGACCTTGACATGAATGTCAGTGTATGAAATATGCAAAACTAATACTAAAGAAATTGCTTATTGAAAAACATTCAAGGGAGGTCTTGAAAGTCTATGAAGAAAATCCAGTGAACCGTTCTTAAAATATTTTGCTGACAATTCAGGTTTACATGCTGAAATCTTCAAAGTGTCATCGTGACCCTAAATATTATGTGAAGATCACCAAAGGTGACTGGGCCCTGGGCCTAGATGAAGCTTGGTGACAAATATGAAGAAAATCCACGGAATGTTTTTGCAATATCTTGATGACCATCTTAACATGCTGAAATCTTCAAAGTGTCTGAGACCTTGAAAATTGAGTGAAGGTCACCAATGAGGTATCGCGCTGACAAGCATAACATGTAGGTTCGTATGCTGAACTCTTCATAGTGTATATGACCTTGAAAATTAAGTGAAGGTCACCAAAATTCTGTGCCTTCCCTAGATATAGCTCGGGGTTAAATATGAAGAAAATCCAGGAAACAGTTCTTGAGATAGCTTAACATGCCGAAATCTTCAAAGTGTCGCCATGACCTTGAAAATTACGTGAAGGTCATTAAAATCCACTGGGCCCTGCGCCTTCCCTAGATAAAACTTGGTACTGTATATGAAGAAAATCTAGTGAATGGTTCTTGAGATAGCTTAACGTGCAGGTGAAACGTTAAAGTCCTCTTGTGAGCTTGAAACGAAGGTCAATGTCACTAAACCTGACTGCCACCTTCCTTCTACTGTGATGAACCTAGGTACCAAATATGAAAAGAATCCAATCAAAAATCTTTATCTTAAGATATTCCAATTGGAACGTACGGACGGAGCCTAATACTAAATCGGCGGGGGGTAATAATAATAAGTGCATTTATAGTGCGCTAGCCTCCATTCACTAGGTGAATGTAAAGCTTTTTAAACAGGTAGGTCTTTAAAGCCCTTTTGAAAATGCGGAGATTGTCAATTCTTTTCAAGTCACAAGGCAGTTTATTCCACAGTGTTGCTGCGTTGAAGGAAAAGGATCTTTTCCCAAACCATCTAAGCTTTGCCTTTGGCACACAGAGGAGACAAAGGTCTGCAGATCGTAATTGTCGTGGTGGTTCATAGTGTTTTGTGAGTTCTGACAGTTAGGCAGGAGCAGAATGGTGATAGCATTGATAAGCTGAGGACAGTCAGTAACGTGTCAGGTCAGCACATTACGGTGACAATGTCCCAGGTCAGCACATTATGGTAACAATGTCCCAGGTCAGCACATTATGGTAACAATGTGCCAGGTTATTCACCCAGACTGAAGTCTTTCACAGGACACAGTCAACAGCCAGCTAACTGGCTTGGTGGCGGGCGGATTTA